TCCAATGTGCAGAACTCTCCGTTCTGACTGCGCATCACCCGATGCGGGGGTCATTTTGGGGATCCAGGTCCGCTAGGACGCCCGTCGGCGGATAGAGAACAAATCAGCGCGATTTGAAAGGGATAGGTGGAGGAGTAAAATGTCAGATATCTTGCGCGTGCACCTATTTTGCCCCCCTGCCCCTCTCCCCCTCCGTCTTCCATCCTCTGCCTCCTCCTCCCCCATCCAGCGTCTCTGCCGTGCCGTACCAACCATGTGTCGTACCATGCAGCGTTTGTGTTTAGGGCCTGAAAGGCGGTGTGTTTTGTGTATGTATGTACACGAATCTGCACACATACATGGATACCCGTACATATCACTCACTCACTCACAACACCAAAATGTCCAAAGGTCCAAGCATCAGGTACTAGTTGAAATACGCTGAGACCCTAGACGGTGCTCGCCACTTTGGCGTCTCATTTAGGCACCGCGCAGCTCTTGACTGTGAGCAGTGCGGCACACGAAACGGCGCACACACAGACCAGCTCACCGAGGGTGGCGACCCCGACCCCGAGCTTTTCCCTGGGGCCCTCGGCTTCGCCCCCGCCCCCGAGCGGTGAGGAGGGTGGCGCGCGCTTCTGGGGGGGAGCGAGAGGGGCAAGAGGGCGGCATGGGGGCAGCAGCAGAGGAAGTACGAGTGGGCGCAGGAGGGGGAGGTCTACTCGGGGGAGTCTGAGACCTGTGACCCCGAACATCTAAAACAGCTGGGTTTTTTCCTATCGAGCCTATCTCGAGCAGGAGGTGCGGATCTGGGACGGGTGGCGTAAGCCTCAGAAGCCGAAGTAGCTGCACTCGGCGCCGTAGGAGGTGGTGTATATGTCGGCGGGCGCGCAGCTGTATAGTCAAAGCCACTGCGTGCACCAGCTTGGGAATTCCCACTGAGAGCGAAACGAACCATATCATCTGAGGAGGCACTCGCGCACGGCTGTCGGGGTTGCACTTCCTCAAGGACGGAAGTAGCTTTGAGGCGCCGTATCGATTTGCCGTCTATCTCCGGATCGGGGGTATCGTCTGCCATACTGGTAGTACTCACGCGTCGTCGCTCATCAATGCGTCCATGTAGAGCGCCAGCTCGTCCTCCACGAAGCCCGCTGGAGCTGGACCGAGGCAGGCTGGCTTGTTCGCACTCTTGAGAGCGGCCATGATCTTCTGGCGGGTGCTGAGGTCGCGGCACGTGAACATGATCTTCGCAGCGCCGCTCTTGTAGGCTTTCTCGACCTTGCAGATCGGGAACATGTCCTGTGCCTGGTACGTGTCGAGCTCGTTGATCTGCTGGAGCGCTGTGTTGAGCTCCTCCTTGCACTTCGCACCGATGTCCTGCTTGACTAGAACTTCGATCATCGCCATGGCTGCGCCTGGGGCTGGGGGGCCTTTTCCGTGATTTTCTCCTTCTTGGCGGATCATCCGTGCGTAGTTGCGATTCTCCGTCTCGATAACGTCGACCAGGGAATCCTTGTCTTCCACTTTCGCCGTCGTGATGATGCACCCCTTCAGCTCGCGAGCCTGCTTCGTGTTCTGGTACGTCGCGCGGAGGAGGATGAGGAGCAGGTCCTTCAGCTCCTGGGACATCTTCGGCGCGGGCTTCGGCTTGAAACCGGCGCCTCGGCGGCGCCGAACTCGAGCAAGGGTCGCCTGCTTCGGGTCGAACTTCACGTCCTCGTCCATCGTCGCGTCTTCCTGGCCCTGGCCCTTGCGGTTCTCGCGCGTCTGGCTCCTTGAGCGTTCTTGCCTTCCGCGCGCTCCACCATTCCCAGACGCTGCTGAGGACTCCATGGGGGGCGCGCCAACCCGCTCGAGCTGGTGTCGGGATGGCCTCCGTACCTGGCATCGTCGGTAGTGGGCGGTGGTGCTGGTGTAGGCGTAGGCGTAGGCTGCGGTATAGAAAGCGTGTGAGTACCCAGTGCTTCGTGAGGTAGATGGCTACGGAGGTGCGCGCGCATCGTGCTGTACTCTTCGAAGGACTGGTAGCATACGTTAAGGTCTTTGGCGACGTGATAGGGTATGGTGCCCATGTCTGATCCGTGCGGCATATGTGTGATTTCCATGCAGCTGTGATGTGATGTGGTGCGCCCACGTGTGTAGGGAATGTCGTACCGCAGATGATGCACTCGTTCGTGATCGTGAGCTGTGATAATAAGCAGCACATACCGTGTCCCCCTCCTGGTGCCAGTCCCCTCTGATGTGCATAAAGTGCTCGTGCGCTCTTCCATGTGGGCATGCATGCGATACCCTCGGACGTTTTCAGCGTGCAGACGAACAGTTCGGCCTCGTCGGACGGGGCCACTTCCGACGGGAGCTCCGCTAGGGCTCCAGGTGGCGCAAGGGCGCGCCGAAGGTAAGCTGCCCTCATCATGCTCACGTCGACGCTGCAGAAAGCCTCCGCAACGTCGGGCTCCGTAAACAGCCCCACGATATTGCCTCGCCAGTCCAGGTATTCCAGAGGCTCGGCGACGTCCAGGACCAGCATGTCCTGTATGTCCGTGGCGAACTGTCGAGCGATGAGGTGTGCGTCGGGGTTGATGTAGCCGTCGTCGTTTAACGTGCGTGGTGCGACTGGTAGTTCATGTTCGCGTAGGCGATGCTCAATCTGGAGTTCGCCGAATAAGACCGACACCATGTGCTTGGAGTCGCCGGGGTAAGCGGCAGCGCCCTGAAGTAGTTCGAGACGTCGTACTTTCAGCTCGATTGAACGCGGTGCTAGCTCCCATCTTCGCCAGATCTCAGCTGCTGAAATAGACTTGTAGCGGTCGTGTGTGCGTAGGCATCCTTTGCCCTTCAGCATAGCGCGGAGTTTCTTGCCCAGGGTAGTGTCGAGTTTTCTGTAGTCGGTGGCGTGCAAGTAGTAGGTCTCGGCGCCGCTGATCGCCGCCTCGTGCACCACTGCTTGGAAGACCAATCGCTTCAATCGTCTCGGAGCTCGACTGAACCAGAAATGATGATACTGACTCCATCCTGAGTTAGCTGCTCGTAGACGTGCCTCTCGTTCTCCGCCGAAAGTGTCCTTACCGTCGAACATGCCACCCACGTGTTTCATGGAAGTGAGCTTGCGGCAGTTGATACGTGTGTCATCGAAGAACGCGCGATGCAATAGTTTAGAGGGGATGCTGTGGACGATTTCCTCCTTTGATTCATTTAGTCCAAATCCACCAGTCCTAAGATGTCGTCGTAGTGATTCCAGGTCTCGCTCAATGATCATGGCCAATGCGTCATTCATGGTGGTAGTCGCGTCGTGGAGATTGCCTCGTGCATCCATAGCTTGCTTCTTGGCGCCGACTCGGATAGCAATGTGAAACTTCAAAATGTCGTCCACGAATACCTGCCGAGACGCGTCTTGCACTGTCCGTCTGGGTCCCACTGCGGTGCGCATGAAAGTAGCATCTGGTTGGAAATAGTGGCCTTGGTGTCCTCGCGCCAATCCTCCAGCTTCGCATTGTACACTTTCATGAAGGCGTCGGGTTCATTAGAGCATCCCATCAGTCCTCCTTCCCTGTTGCGCATCAGGAGCGTGCCGTCACTGGCGTCGATGATAGTCTGTGACTCGCTCCTGCGCTGCCGCGCCGGTTGCAGACCCCCTGCGCGAAATGCTGGGAGGACGTGCTCGGTGATCGCTGCGTGCTGCGTGCAGCCGAAGGCATTTCGTCCATCATGAGAGCGACCCGCGAAGGCAACCCGAGCTTTGCGTAACTTGCTGGCCATCACTCGCGTAACAATCATACCGTATTCGCGCCGTCGGTGGGCGATTCCTCCATATGCGTAATCAGGCGGTGGTGAAGGGGGGCCTGCGAGCAGCGAGTAGGCGTGATCTTCCAAGCCGATACTGTTGGGATCGCTGAAGCTTTCGCCGAGAGGGGTCTTCATCTGCGACGGGTTCGTTAGCTGCTCCGATCCCCCCTCGAGCACGTCCTGGTCGTCGAAGTACTTCAGGTTGAAGTGCCATGGGCAGCGCTTCTGCTGGGGCCGAAAAGGGGGGAGCATATTTCCGTCGTTTTGCCTTGCCCAAAGGCTTAGTGACTGCGGCGAGCTCGTCGGCGGCCCCGGTGATGAAGTTGAGCTCAAGGCCCCTGGTTGCGGGTCTGGGCGCGGGCGTATGAATCGAAGTCGAGGCAGCTGCGCTCGGTGCCGTAGGTGGTGGTGTACTCGGTATAGGCGTAGGTGGGCTCATTCCAAAGGGCATGTCGGGCTCGTCTTGGTTCAGCATATCGTCGAAAGAGGCCTCTGCTTCGTCCATGCCTTGATTGTACTGCGGTGGTGTTCCCAAGACGGAGGTGATCCCAATGCGGGCGTGGTCCCTCTGAGAGTCCCCGCGGGTCGGGCTGTTCGGGCGTCGGGGCTCCTGGCCTGGGGGCGCCTGGCCCTGGGGATTCGAGGCATCCAGCAAGAGGGGGAGGCGACGAGGCGGCTCGGATCCTGGGCCCTCGAAGGAAACCGAATGGCATTTGACCTGGATCTGATGTTAGACGGCTCTGGTACGAGTTCAGCTCGCGTAGGTACGTGAACTGGTGATGGTGCCGCGAGTAGGCCTCCCTCTGCGCCTGGCCGCTCCAGAAACTGTTGCCACTGATGTGTGCTCGGTCGGCTGCTTGGTAAGATGCCATAGAATCGCCGTCGTGCGCGTAGTCGATGTCTTAGCATGCCTTTGGTAACTCGATGACACTCTGCCTGCCGTCGGTCACGCCATGCCTGCCATAAATCTTCGCACTGAATCTCCGTGTACTTGTGATTGGCGTCCTTACTGTGTCTGGTAAGCTTCTTGCTCAGCTCGCGGATGTGCGTGTCTAAATATTATATCTCCTCTTCCAGTGAGTTGGCCTCTTCCATCTGAGAC